CCGGCTACTGAATACAACCGCCTTCTAAAGAAACAGATTTATATGTGCACATTAAAGTTTTGTGTTTTAGCGCTCTTATGTTATAAAGCTTTTAATGAAAAATATATAAAGCTTATAATAGAAAAATAATATGCACTCATTATATGATCTTTATAAACATTTCTTAAAGCCCCACAAGTTATATGGCGCTCATTCCCAAAACTATTTGCAGTTAATAGCTTTTTATGCATTGCCCTGCGTAATTTGTGTGGGTATATAAGCACATGCACATTGCATGGTTAAGGAAAACCTCCTGTAGTCCCCATCAGAAGCCTTCTTGAATGGACCTACAAGAGATAAATTAATAGGAAAAAAAACAATTTTTTTTGGTCTTGAGATAAGGCTTTTACAAATCCTATTGGCTGGCTTCAAACTTGAGATCTTACTTTGTCAGCCTCTTGATGCAAGGATTACAGGCATGAGCCACAATGTCAAGTAGTACATATGAACTTAATTCTGTACAGTGGTGACTAGCAGGAAAATGATTGCCTACCTGCCAAGGGGGATTTAGTTGCCTATTTCCATTCAGGTGGTGAGGGAAGTGGACCATTCCCTCTGAGGATTAGTACGAGTTTTTATCAGGAGAATAGACTGAGTTTAGAGTAAACAAACTAATTTGCAAACAGTTATCTGTGGGATTTGAATGCATCCAAAGGACAGACTTCTGTGAACAGCATTCTGTCTATGCAAGTTGGGGCCATGGGTAGCCTTTGCTGCCATCTTATCCATGAGATGTTAAGGTGATGGTGAAAAGTAATTGTGTTCTGTCAGATCCAATGTTAACATACTTGAGCTGATCAAGGCTCATTTTATGAAACTTCCTTGAAAGAGAGGATCAAAGATAAGTTATGGAGGCAGGATAGCCAGCAATCCTGATTGTCAGACTGTTTCTGTATATCCACACTTAGTGGTATTGTTCACTCAGACAGAACACCACACCGGTATCCTAGTGCTGGGCATACTTTAAAACACATAGAAGCTGACTGGAGAGATGGCTCAGGAGTTAAGAGCACTGGCTGCCCTTGCTGATGATCTGGGTTTAGTTTCCGTACACACGTGGTAGCTGTAACTGCAGTTCCAGGTGGTCCTCCATCCTCTCTGGCCTCCACTGACACTGTCTGCATATGGTGGATACTTATACATTCAGGCAAGACACTACTACATTGGAAATAAAGATAAATTTAATAAAATAAAACAGAGCCACATTTGACTTTTAACATTTGTCTCACTCGTCAGCTTGTATAGATCTGATGTGTTGCTTTTTTTTTGCCATTCTATGTATCTTTACATATCCCGGGAATTGGGGCATGAATATACCTACCATTTAGCCTATTGTAGCTGTTATCTATGTGAGTCTAAAAGCATAATTATGATAAACTAGGATAATTGTTTTGGTATAAATGGTTCACTTATAATTCTTCATGATTTATTATGCATTAGTATAGTATATTTCTTTAATTTACCAGTTCCAGAGAAATCTTTAGTTAGTTTTGACCCTTAACATCAATTAGCACTCTCAGAGTCATTTTGACCACTGCAAGTGTTTGCGACTAAAAATAGGTTTTGTGTGGCTGACATTTTGAGGGCCATGTACTATTGATATCTTTCTTGCCTGTATGTCACAGTAAATCAGTCGATAAAGATCTAAAAGATGGTCCACTTGGAAGAACCCACCCCCCAGGATCAGATTTCAATTTAATTCAATTATAGGTTGGAAAAGAAAAAAACTGGATTCCATTTGATTCCAGCTGTTAAACTGAATAAGGTTGCACTTCAATTTAAAACTCTGTACATTAATTTTGCATCGTTATATTTGTTCTTGTAGGAAAGAAGAAAGAGAAAACAAAATTATCACATGATTGTTCTTTATGGAACATATTAACCTACTTAAGTGACACATAGGCCAGCGTTGGGTATGTGTGAGAAAGAGTTCCTGCTTACATCTAACAAATCTGCAGGATTTTCAGTGGGGCCAAACTGCTCTTAATATGGGCCTTCATTTGCTGAGTACATTATTTCAGGACCTTGTTTTTGAAGATTAAATATGACACAGTCTGGTCATATTTAAAGAAATTAAAGAAACTTTCACACTTCATAAAGGAATGTGCTGGTATTCTGTAGTTTGGAATGCCAGAGAGCCTTAAGTAGACTGAGGTTGTGGATTACAAAAACAATTCAACTGAATGCCTAGAAGTAATGGAATCATTAAAGTATTATTTATTAATCTACCCTGAAAAGCTCATGATGATTAGTATGTGGCATACATAGGTACAGCCAAGAGATCATGTTAAAAAACTGTGATGTACTCCTGTGAAAACTACAAAGGTTGGCATTATTTTGTAATGGAAAGGGAGAAAGAAATCCAGAAAACTTTTATTTATGAAATTAAAATAAAAATTTCATGTTTTCTTTATAATTGTTTATTTACAAAATTGTAAAAGATGCTCATGCATTGTTAAAATTAACAATAAATTTATATGTTCTCTCTCTCTCTCTCTCTCTCTCTCTCTCTCTCTCTCTGTGTGTGTGTGTGTGTGTGTGTGTGTGTGTGTGTGTGTTTGTGCCTGCCTAAGAGTCTATAAACTAGACCATGACTGATCAGAATCAGTAGAGAAAGGATGTGACTAGATTATTTGAAACAATTAAGTTGGGGCTTCTTGATTATTAATGCATTTGTTGAAAGGTACCTAGGATATAGATTTGCTTTTCTAAAATGTGGATCAGTTAGATTTTACACTGTAACATTTCATAGAAATTTTGGTGAGCAGGTAGAATTTGTAGCATCCTGAGATTTTCTCAGAGTCCCTTTTATTCTTGCTTCTTAACTAGTATGTGTAAGACATGAGTGCAGTTAATTACAGCACTGGGTGGGGGGTGGTCAGAATCCAGTTTTCAGGGATGCCTCAGGCTTTCCTCTGAGGCTGTGCCCTGCACTCAGTGAAGTCCACTATGCCAGAGGAAAGAAAAAAAAGCTATAAGGTTTTCCTGCATTGACGAAGAACACTGGTATTTGGGGTAGGCTGCAGTTTATGACTTGCCCTGCTTTTGAAAGCTATGGCAATGCCCAAGCATTCCATTAGAAGCAGAACAGACTACTGTTCTATAGGCCCAGGAAGTCCAATGAGTGAGCCTTTAGCTCTGTTCCTTGTCAGTTTCTTAGACCCAGTCAGTGGCTCCTTTTTTTTTGCATTTTTTTATTAAATTATTAATATTTTCACATGTACTTTCCCACTCCCTCTCCCTCCCCCACCCCCATTCCTTCTCCCCCACCTCCCACCTACCCCCCCCCCCATCCACCCGCCCC